GTCAGTTCTTTAGCTATACTGGGAATTCAGCCTGCTCTCCTCCAATGATCAGACTTATCCTGACACATCCTCTGCCTGCACAGACATTCACTGAGAAGTTCAGTGAAGCTGTGGTCAACTTTTGCAGTTTTGGGGACCCAAATCTGAGGTTTCCAGTACAATCTGGAGGTATTCATAAAGCAGGACACTATAGAAAGTGAGAACCCTACCCGGGGTCATGAATTATTATGGCACATAAAGTATAATTTATTTATTTATTTCAGGTACTTATATAGCGCCGTCAATTTACGCAGCGCTTTACACGTATATTGTACTTTCACATCAGTCCCTAACCCTCAAGTAGTGTACAATCTAAGGTCCCTAATTTACATTCATACATACACATACTAGGGCCAATTTAGACAGGATCCAATTCACCTACCAGCATGTCTTTGGAGGGTGGAAGGAAACTGGAGTACCCAGAGGAAACCCACACAGGCACAGGGAGAACATGCAAACTCCAGGCAGGTGGTGCCGTGGTTGGAATTCGAACCAACAACTCTAGTACTGCCAGGTGGAAGTGCTAACCATTTAGCCACTGTGCTGCCCAATATAATGTCTTCTTATGAGATTATAAAATAACAAAGGAGCTCCATAGTCTTGGCACTTGTTATGGGTATTTCCTCTGTACGTGACCAGCATATGATCAGCTCACACTCATGTGATTATTAATGCTTCATCTATTGCAGAGACAGCCCTTAACTATTCCCTCTCTGATCTCTCTCTGGATCCAATTGCTGCTTTCAAATACAAAACGCTGACTTTTCAAATGGAAACAAATGTTTTGCAACCATTTCTGCAGCCAATTGGTTCTCAACATAGCAAGAAATAGGTTTCCAGCTAAAATCCCTAGTACTCTTATACAACCTTTGTGCATGCATTCAAATATATGGCCCATCTATGGTGCAACTGCAGGAACACATTGCGATCCTAATTGCTGAACCTTTAGTAATGCTATATGGATTTCATGTATTAAATGGAATCAAGGGGTCGCTTCTTTGCCACTGTTCGATGACTATGCAGCGAAGTGAGCTGGAAGTTCGGCAACCCTCCTTCCTCCTGAAGTATTCTGGGACACTTTACAGGTCTCTGAACACCGCCGGACCAATCAGGATGTGCAGCGCAACTTACACATGCGCAGTGGGCACACGGCTGTGAAGCCGCAAGCTGTCACAGCCTGGTGCCCACAGTTGAGATGCCGATGCCGGAGAGAGAAGGAGAGACAGGACTGCGCAGGTGAGTACATCGCTGGACCCCGGGACAGGTAAGTGTGTGTTTACAAAAAGTCAGCAGCTACGGTTTTTGTAGCTGCTGACTTTTTAACAAACACAAAAATGACTGGAACTCCGCTTTAACCTCCCTAGTGGTCTGATTATGTCCATATTTCTGTGCTCAAAGCGGTACATTTTTTTGCATGGAAATATGTTTTTTTTTTTTATTGTAGGCCTGTAGTTTTTAGGAATAACTCACCGAAATCTGTCCGAACAAGAGTCTAGTAAACATCCTGGGTAGGATAAAACTTGAAACACGAAATCATAAATTATAATTTAATAAATAATCATAAACAATAATATAATGATAATAAATTTAATTCAATAATATAATCAAACCAAAAACACTGAAATTTTAAATATAGTGCCAAGTTCGTACATCGCTGAGCAAAGTCGCAAAATCATTTTCAGTGTCTGATGACGAATTTCCCCACGAATCATCACTCAATTCTGCAAGTAGTTCCGATTTACTATTGCTGTTCTCTAGCTGAGCTAAACCCGCTTTTGACCTAAAGGGACGCTTTTTGGACGCCATGGACGTTTCTCAGTTTCCAGGCAGAAAGAACAGTAAAAATGCAGGCAGGGCACAGGACAAAGCACTAGGGACAAAATATATGTGAAATGGTTTGATACAGGAATGTTATACTATGTGATTTTAGTGAATGTCACTTTTTGTCATTTTCAAATTTCCCGCCGTTCCATCCCCCGTACGTCCCGATGCTCGCAGGGGACGGAACCCAGATGACAGATGCCGGCATCTGCCGGAGGACATTACAGGGGACATTGCAGGAGGGACATCGCGGGAGCGCAGGACAAGGTAAGTGATCGAGGGATCGCGGAGCAGCGCCGCATGGTAAGCCCGAGTGTAGCTCGGGGTTACCGCTTGTGGTACTGAAACTTTACCCCGAGCTACACTCAGGAATACCACCAGGGAGGTTAACAAATGTTATTGTAGATTTTTACCTTTTGTTGTTCTGAAGAATTTGTCTGTGTCCATGTACAAAATAAATGCGATTGGAACGATTTCACAATTATCAATCAGCTGATGCAATTGCAGTGTTCTAATGAGAAAAGTGCCAGGGTCTGCATCACTTTAGACATGATTTCCCTTGGAGTCTCACCAAAAATGATTTGTATCCTAGTGTGGACTTCTTGGAAAATCAGTGAGCCAATCACACAAATGGCAAATGACATTTCTGGGGACATTCTGTACAACAACTGTGTACGGATGATCTTCAGGTTAAATTGCATTGATTTTACAGGAAATTACAGAGCTGCAGACTGAAAAGGAAAGGTCATTTTTAACTACTTCCCACCCAGCCTATAGTAAAATGACGGCCGGGCGAACCTCTCGTCCCTCCGGTAGGGCATCATATGACGTCTTGCCCGCAGGGCTACATTGTGGCGAGATCTGTCATCATGGGCCGATGACAGATCTGTGTACCGGCCCTGTTGCCAGTACCATGTGACCTGCTGTGACCAATCACAGCAGGTCACATGACAGTTGTATACAATGGATGGCTTCCTTTCCTGCCATCCATCCTGGATTCTGAACTATCCTTTCAGGCCCACATCCAATCCCTGTCCAAATCACCTCAACCTCCGCAACATCTCCAGAATATGCCCCTTTTTAACCAATGATACCACAAAGCTCCTAATTTATTCCCTGGTCATCTCTCACCTCAACTACTGCAACTCCCTCCTCATTGGCTTACCTTTACATAGGCTATCCCCCCCTCCAGTCCATCATGAATGCTGCTGCCAGGCTCATCCACCTTACCAACCATTCAGTGTCTGCTACCCCTCTCTGTCAGTCCCTCCACTGGCTTCCACTTGCCCAACGAATAAAATTAAAAATACAAACAACAACTTACAAAGCCAACCACAACTCTGCCCCCAGCTACATCACCAACCTGGTCTCAAAATACCAACCAAACCACTCTCATTGATCCTCCCAAGACCTTCTGCTCTCTAGTTCCCATGTCACCTCCTCCCATGCTTGCCTCCAGGACTTCTCCCAAGCTTCTCCCATCCTATGGAACTACCCCAATCTGTCTGGCTGTCTCCTAATCTATCCACCTTTAGACGATCCCTGAAAACCTCTCTTTAGAGAAGCCTATCCTGCTTCTAACTAGTAAACCGCATTTATTTCCTCCATCAGCTCATCCCCCACAGCTATTACCTTTTGTATCACTCAACCCTTCCTCATAGATTGTAAGCTCTAATGAGCAGGGCCCTCGTGTACCAAATTGTATTGTAACTGTAATGTCTTCCTTCATTTTGTAAAGCGCTGAGCAAACTGTTGGCGCTATATAAATCCTGTATTATAATAATAATAACAGTTTGTATACAACTGTGTCTAGCTGTGAATGGTCACAGTGATCACATGCATAGGCTGGGCCAATCACAGCCCATCTGTGTCATGTGATTAGCCATGGCCAATCACAGCTAATCACAAGAAAAAAACCTGAATGAATCGATTTCATTCAGTTAAATGCTTGCTTATAGCAAAGAAATTCTTTGCTATAAGCAATCAAAAAAAAAAAAATACTGATCACTTCCCCAAAGTAGTACAATGTTACTTTGGTAACATTTTACTACTTTGGTCACTGTAATATGAAAATAAAAATCTTAAAAAAGAGAAAAAAAAAACAATGTAATAAAAAAATTTAAACATTTTTTTTTTTTTTTCATACTGTCACCAGTCAGTGTCCCTGATCACCGCCACACCAGTTATATGATGCTGTACTGCACTGGTGACAGTATGTAAAAGAAAAAAAATTGTGAAAATCATTTTTTTCATTTCTTAAATTTTTAAAAAAAATAACAGAAAAATTACAACTTCAAAAAACTCACCATGCCTGTTATGAAATACGTCGGACTGTCTACTTTGCAAAAAAGGGGTCATTTGTGGGATATCTGTACTGTTCTGACATTCTTGGACCTCAAGAAATTAGATTGGCTGTCAGTACTTCAGGATTGATCAATATTCACATCTATACCATAGTTTGTGAACTCTATAACTTTCCTACAAACTAAATAATAAACACAGTTTTGGGTTATTGTCACCAAAGACATGTAGTAGAATACATCTCGTCCTAAATTTATGAAGAACAATTATTTATTTGCAAACATTTATAACAGAAACAAAGAAACATTTTTTTTTATTTTTCTGTATTTTTTTGTTAATGTAGCAAAAAATGAAAAACTCCAGCAGTGATTAAATACCACCAAAAGAAAGCTCTAGTTGTGTGAACAAAACGATAACATTTTAGTTTGAGTACAGTGTTGTATGACAGCATAATTGTCATTGAAACCTGAAAATTGTCCTGGGCAGGAAGGGGGTAAAAGTGCCCGGTATTGTAGTGGTTAATAGCAGTCCATTCTAATTATGGTCTGTATATCAATTGTATAGGCTGTATTTCTTAATTTGCATGACCCTTTAGTTAATCTGCACTGTTTGCTATACACGCACCAATCTACCATCAATTTTACCATACAGTCTGCCACCATCTTTATAGTGGACAATCCTACTAGTCGATCAGTTATTTTCATAGAATATTGCTGTGTGTATGACCTGAATCTCCCAATCAGATCAGCAGGCTGTCCATATAAATCGGTGTAAGTGATCAGAGAAGATCTTGGTGTACAGGAGGTGCCAGCTCCCAGCACACACAGCCCTGCTCTCACCTTGTAGTAGAAGACCCCCAGAGCTCGGAGCTCCTCCAAGGAAACTGGCTGTTCAGGCTCCAAGTGGTGCTCCTTCCTCTGATCCTCTCCAGAGCCATCCATATACCAAGCCTGCACCATGCTGACTGTCTTCCTCCAGCAATACTGAGGACTGGGAAGTGATGTCAGCCAAGAGGTGGCCACAGATTAGAATGTGTAAACACAGAGGCTGGGAGAATTAAAGGGCCAGTCCCTTCTGCTTCTCTTTCTGTATTGCCAGCAGGAGAGACGCGTCAGCTCCAAGGAAGAAGAGTGGCCAAGTTACAGACCTATCCTGGCCTAACAGGCCGAAAATTGGCTCATTAGCTTTTGCTGCAAATCTGATGTAAAGAAAAAAAAAGGTTTGGTTAAAAGTTTGATAAGTTTGTAGTAGAACTACAGGCAAAACCTTTTGGTTTCATTTCGGATAGAGTAAGCCTAGGTTCACGCTGCATTCCATGAGCGTTTCCCGTACCACATTGAAATTGTGCTGCCCTTGTGATCTTCAGCAGGTGTCAGCGCAATCTTAACACCACAAAACGCAATGCAGGAAAACGCCCATGTGTTCCAGCTGCAGTGCAGTTCCATAATGTATAAATACAATGAACCTTGTGAGCTGCTATGAATAGATGCTATATTCCAGTGAATTACTCACACTATTCACATCCCCTCAATGTGTTAATACAACATTCACCTAAAGTGCCGGATGTGCAAAAAAATGAATATTTTGTGAAAATAACAGAAATAAAATCAATAAATGAACTGCAACATATAATAGTCCAGTCCAAACAAAAGTTACATGTTAAAAAGAAATCTGAAGAATATATTTTAAAATCTAAAAAAAAAAAGGTTTTGCTTTTAGTTATACATTATGTATGGCAAAGCCATGGCTTTGTCATGGTCACTGTTCCAAACACTTTTTCTGCACTGCACCTTTTAGGGCTAGGCCTTTTGGCCAAGTCCAGGGCAATTTTTTTGCTAAGGGCCTCAGGGCCTAGCCAGTGAACAATTGCATGGCCATGTATTTATTTATTTACCGTATTTTCCGGCATATAAGACGACTGGGCGTATAAGACGACCCCCTACTTTTCCTGTTAAAATGTAATGTTTAGGCTATACTCGCCGTATAAGACTACCCCTCTTCCAATGCACACCAGTGGGAAGAATCGTGCCCCATCACTGGTGTCAGTGGGAGGAATAGTGTCCCATCATTGGTGTCAGTGGGAGGAATAGTGCCCCATCATTGGTGTCAGTGGGAGGAATAGTGTCCCATCATTGGTATTAGTGGGAGGAATCGTGCCCCATCATTGGTGTCAGTGGGAGGAATCGTGCCCCATCATTGGTATCAGTGGCAGGAATAGTGCCCCATCATTAGTATCAGTGGGGGGAATCGTGCCCCATCATTGGTGTCAGTGGGAGGAATAGTGCCCCATCATTGGTGTCAGTGGGAGGAATCGTGCCCCATCATTGGTGTCAGTGGGAGGAATAGTGCCCCATCATTGGTGTCAGTGGGAGGAATCGTGCCCCATCATTGGTGTCAGTGGGAGGAATAGTGTCCCTTCATTGGTGTCAGTGGGAGGAATAGTGCCACATCATTGGTGTCAGTGGGAGGAATAGTGCCACATCATTGGTGTCAGTGGGAGGAATAGTGTTCCCATCATTGGTATTAGTGGGAGGAATCGTGCCCCATCATTGGTGTCAGTGGGAGGAATCGTGCCCCATCATTGGTATCAGTGGCAGGAATAGTGCCCCATCATTAGTATCAGTGGGGGGAATCGTGCCCCATCATTGGTGTCAGTGGGAGGAATAGTGCCCCATCATTGGTGTCAGTGGGAGGAATAGTGCCCCATCATTGGTGTCAGTGGGAGGAATAGTGCCCCATCATTGGTGTCAGTGGGAGGAATAGTGTCCCAACATTGGTGTTAGTGGGAGGAATAGTATCCCATCATTGGTGTCAGTGGGGGGTGGAATAGTGCCCCATCATTGGTGTCAGTGGGGGAGGAGGAATAGTGCCCCATCGTTGCTGTCAGTGGGGGGGGAGGAAAAGTGCGCCATCATTGGTGTCAGTGGGAGGAATAATGCCCCATCATTGGTATCAGTGACACCAATGATGGGGCTTTATTCCTACCAATGACACTTGCTGGCCCCTGTTCCAGTATGGTGCTGCTGCAGCCAGCATATGTGGTTGCAGCAGCACCTCTGGACGGCACACTTACCGGTCGCTCCTTCACTCAATTTTCGCGGGGCCGCTCAGCTCCGCCTCCTCGCCGGTGATTGGCCGCCTGTGTGCCTTTCCTGAGCTACAGTTCTGGCGGCCAATCACCGGTGAGGAGGCGGAGCCGAGCAGCCGCGCGAACATCCAGTGGCCGAACCGAATGAAGGAGCAGCCGCGCTTCCTGGACCGGATCGTCGTGGGACCGGAGCCAGGTAAGAGACAGCAGCCCCTGCCCAGCCCTGTACTTAGTGTCCCTTGGAAGGGGGGGGGGCGGCGGCGGCACCGCGCCGCCCCCTAAAAAGTGTCAGCATGCCGTATACCGGCGTATAAGACGACCCCCGACTTTTGAGAAGATTTTCAAGGGGTAAAAAGTCGTCTTATACGCTGGAAAATACGGTATGTTTCTCCCTACTGTTTTCTCACTAGGGTGGAGTGTCTGGGTCCTCAGGCCTGCCCTGAAGTCTAGTGTGGAGGATGCATGGCCATTAGGTTCCTTCCTCCCCTGTTCCTGGAGGGGTCTCTCTTCGGGAGAGCTCCCTGACCTAGTGATTGGTGGTCGGTTTCAGCTAGCCACAAGGAAAGGAGTATTTGGAAACCTTTGTTCCTGACAGGAACCTTGCGCCTCGGGGGATGAGGGTAGAGATCCTAATCCTTCGGAGGGTGAACTAAAGCACACCCCTAAGTGCACTTTTTTGTGTTTGTGTTTTGCACTTGCACGTTTTTGTTTGTTCATTTACGAGTTTTTGTTTTTTCACACCTCTACGAACGTAGAAAAAAATTAAAAACATGTATGGCAAGTTTAGACCAATGTACAATATTTATAGGCCATACCAGAGATATCCCTGTTGACCTGTGCTGCGTGGGAACACTTTAAATTTTCTTATTTAATACAAAGTATTTTAGGATTAGATAAGCAGAGATCTTGACATCACTGCTCCACCTTAACCAATCAGAGAACACTTTGCATTCATTGAGAAAATGCAAATTGTTCCATGAATGGCACCCATGCCGAGTGAGCAATCTCCTCCTACTCACACAGGATCTGACACTAGCACTAATCACTGTAGTAGTGATGACTACCACAGTGATTTTCAACTTCCACAGGGGTCCCATAGGTATGGCACATACATACTGTACTTACATTGGTCCTAGCTGGAAAAATACAATTATGTCAAAATATGCATGCCTCGAATTCAGCTTTCAATAGTACATAAATGTTAACAATTATTTCTTTTCTGCTTCCTTTTGGTCCATTAAAGGAGAATTCAATCATTTGCAAAAAAAAATGATAAATGCTCCCATATTGAAAAAAGCAAAAATGTGCACCTATTTTTGTGGCTTGAGCCTGTAAAGCACAGCAAGTGCAATTAGTGGATTATGGGTGCAATGCTCTGGCTTCCGCAGACTGTTTCCCTAGCCCCAAGGTACAAAGCTTCAGCTATGGAGCTGGAAGAGGCATCAATGGCCTACATGTGCGCTGACAGCTGCAGAGAAGACTTGTAGTTTTTTCACTCACAGCTCTCTGAATTAAGATTTTAAGGGAGCCAAGAAGAACTGGGGGGGAGGCAGTTTGAGAGTGGGGGCTGTGAACTCTAACCTTGTTTAATTTTTATACCCTAAATATAGGTGTAACATGACAGAAAAGGTTTTATCAATGAGATTGTTCACTGAGGACTACAAAACCACAAGTTCTATGTTATGGAGAATAGGCGGGTGGTGGCGTCCTATAGTCCTGACTTGTTTATGTTGTCCTGATACAGTACAGTGCATGTTCTTATCCTAGAATGAAAAAAAAAAAGAAAAAATAATGCAGCCAAGACAAATAAGGACATACCAGCTGCAATATTACATTTTTGTTTTTGGGTTTTGATAAAAGTGTATAGCCAAAACTTTTGAATTCAGTAGGAAAGGGCTAAAACCCAGCCTGTTAATTTTTGCTGTATGTAAACCATTGGGAAATTGCACTTTCTGTCCCATGAAGTTAGAGGAAATCTGCCAAAGGGAGTAGTGTTCCCCTACAAAACACATGTCCCTGAAAATAGTATCCCCATTAGAAGATTGCCCCTCACTTTTTGCCTCAGTAACAGATACCAGTTGGAGGGCAACATGTTTCTATATCAGACATTTATGAAACCTTACTGCTTGGTTGTCAGATAACTATTTAGCCTATTGATTGTTATCTTGGAGTGTCAAGAAAAGCAAGTATTTACAACAGGATGTATACCAAAATCCTTGTCCTGGGAGTTCACACATACTCCCTAGCAGTGGGGCATGGAGATAAGAGAGCCTCAGCCCAGACTCCCTGGTACCATGCATAATAAAAGGTCAGATTAGCCAGAAGGAAGGAGCCAGATGTGATTGACCAGGGTCCAAGCATGGCTGGCAATACAATATTTTTGTATTCTCAAAAATACAAAAATATTGATCGCTTCTCGGCCTTTTGGCTAAGATCAAGTGTAGTATCGACCTTGCCTTTAGGGGTGTCCCGGCTTCCAGCTAGGACGTTGAGAAACACTTGTATCTATCCAAGCCATTTGGTCTGTGTGGGGTACCCTCTTCTCGGCCTTGTAGGATCGTCGATTAAATTCGGCTTCACCTACTTGCTGCTATTGGGTTTGAGGCTTAGCCCCCCACACAGAACGAGTTTGTGATCTTCCCCCCCCCTTGTTCACTCTGCGTTACTACCTCCGGGCGTAGACGCTCAATAGCCTTTTCAAAGGCTAAGCAAGCGAGAGTGAAGCCGCCGAGGAAGAAGAAGGAGAAGGAACCCGACCAAGATCTCTGGGAAGCCCTCCTGAGAACTCCTCTGCGCCAAGATGGGGAAGAAAACAGACCGCGAAGAAGCCACAGAACGCCACCACCGCCAAGACCCCGGGAGAAGCCCCCT